AACTCTGAAAACAATAGACTGTTAAACTTAGGTCATTGATCTATGTAGGTGGCCTTCTCCTAGAGCTGTTGTTTTTTTTGCTGTGAGATATTGGCTGATCTATCTCATTCTGCATCATAGCCCGTGCTTTGGTCCACATGAAGACTTACACTTGGCAGTATTGCCATCAGCAGTCAACTTCTGGGAGTTATATGTCTGTTGGTATAGAAGCTCTCCCTGATAAACTTCGTCCATCATGTATATCTTGCCACCCTTTTTGTAACAGGTGAATCTGACCAGTGCCTGGCATTACTTTGGCCAGTTAATTCGATGCCGAGTCCCACAAAAACCACCTCACTTAGTTTGAGGATGTTCAGATCATGACCCTTCTTTAAATCCCATGCTCCTGTATATGAGAGGTAACTATTAGAGGTCAAGCTTCAGCACGGGGGATTTCTCCTTGCCGCTTATCGGCCTCTTGATCTTTGTATGATATGCAATGTGTGCTATGGATGGATAAGATATATAGCACTTGCATATTACAAACCTTTTCTTTTACTTTGGGTTTGTTCTCAAGCAAGTTTAATCTCAATATGAAATTAAAACATGATCTGGCAAAACTGCATGAAAATCCCAATCCTCTGAGAATCTGGAAACTAACATAACAAGATGGCACAGGGCACACACAATGTGCGTTAATGAAGTGATTAATTAAAAAACAAGTGCATCAGACCTACTGGCATAACCTTGAACTATATATAATAGACATGTAAAACTCTAATAGTCACAATAAAAATACACTTTAACAACTACAGAAGGTTATGTGCATTATATTAAAATTATTTTGAATTTTCCAATCAGTAAGTCACGTGACAATAACAATCGATGTAAAGTTAGGATGGAATGGAATGTATTAGAACTACGTTTTGAAATTGTAATAGTGTGCTGCCAACAAATGTTGATTGATTTTGGGAAAGGTATGTAACAGCCCTTTTCAATGCAATATATATATATATATATATATATATTCAGATCGTAAAGATATCTTCAGATTGAAGATTTAGGATTTACAAGATGGTGATGTTTCTTGCACTCAGTGGCATTAGAAAGTAGATGAAAATGGATCACCATATATAAACAAGCCTGCAAGAAGTCTTAACTCAGTTGTGATGAATAAAGTGTAGCGTTTTGTAGCATGCAAGAACCCACAAACACAAAGGTCATTGACAAAAGCTTTTCATGTGTTCGAGGCAGCAGTATATAATGTAATCAAAGGTCACTATTTGGAAAAGTGAAACAACTCACGTATATACAAGTTGCTTCCACAGTATAGTTTTTCATCTATCATATATCTAAAGCAGTTGGAGAATGAAATAGATATGCATACTATACCATACGAAGACATACATTTCAAGCCACTGGATACAGTGTCTATGGATTTCTGTGTGATCAGACAGTTGAAATGGGTGCTGGGAACCATCATATACTAGATACATCATGGGATGCTGCAGAGAGAAGCAGTATGTTTTAGACAGACAGCATTACCGAAGATTTGCAATGGAAACTATGCTGCAGAGCATAATAGAACGTGGTGACAAGGACTGTAACTATAAGATTACAAAGTTATTTTAATATAACAAATTCAACACCTGTAACGCATAATAGAATAAAGTTTATTTTAAGTGTATAACAAAATACATTTTAAATTCTTCTTTATACGTATAATGAAAAGAGTTATATATAATCTTAAACAAATTTAAAAAGTAAGAAGAGCATCTGTTATATGCATTTGGGGAAGTATTTTATGTACAGCTCGTACCTTTTCTTTGTTAGTTATAATGTTTGGGACTCCATGCTGAGTCATTTTTCAGATCTGAGGAATTGTTTTGCCAATATGGATTTTATAGTGCTGTGGGGTACGGTCCTGTATGACATGATGCCATTAAATACCGCTAACACCTCACGAAAGTAAATATTATAACTGTCAGATGGATTTCTAACTTCTTAATAAACCGAACAGCAGTAATACAAGTAAACAATGCCCTATCTAAACCAGTCGATATTACAGCATGAGCTCCGCAAGGCTCATACTTTCGCCACTTCCTATTTGTCAATAACATACCATTTCCTAATCTGACATACACATGTTTTTCACAGTACGCAGATGATATTACTGTTTGGAGCGTATAACTCACTAATAGCGAATAACAGAGTCCAAAAATCCCTAGACGCTATTCTAACTTGGTGTAATAACTGGCAAGTATTACTGAATCCTATTAAAACTACCGGCATTATTTTTCGACAAAAGTTAAATAAACATTTCAGAAATATTAAAAAAGTAAAAACTGAGATTAGGTAAGGAAGAAATATAACTATGCCCCCTTGGTTAGCCGCCTCACATAGGTTCAGCATTGTAGGAACATAAACAAATATTTTAGTACAAAAGTAACTCACCTAAGACTCATAGCAGGAAGAAATAAAGGATGCAAACCCACTATCATTCTAAAAATCTATAAAGCATATTTACGAACCGTAATATAATACGGTTGCCAAATCACCTTTAATATGCTTAACAGTATTGCCAGCACGTTACGACTTCAATAAAATAGAATCCTAAGATTAGTCTTTAGACTTCCAAAATTCACTCCAGTTAGATATATGCACAAAACATGTAATCTAGCATTACTCAGTGGAAGATTAACAACACTAGCCAACAAATATTACCACATAAAACAATCTCCTCAAATAACAGGTACCTTCCTTTTAAAACAACACAGACAATATTCTATAACAACTGGAGGCGACACGTTCTAGTCTTTACTGTGGGCATGTATAACTAACCCATTTACGTTATTTTTCCTTTTCAGCTTGAGTACAGGACAGGTAGAATATTCGGCGTTTGTTCTGTGAAAGAGGGTTTCCTCGGGGCACTCCCGTCTCCCTCACATCAAATTCTTAGGTAGTTGGATCCTGTGATTCCAGCCTCGGCATTGGATTTATAGATCCCAGCTACCATGTGAAACTATCTGTGGGGTGTTCGATCCGCTCTGTTTTGTCGATAGGTTGTCGTCTGACTTCTTTCTCCACCATCAGCTGACGGGGATTTTAAGGATTTTGAACTAACAGAGGTGGAGTTTTTAATCAGAAACATAGATGTTTTATGCTACACTAACTTGGTGGAGCATCTCAAGACATCAGGAGAAGCTGTGTTTTGGGAAAGCTTCCTTCCCTTTTTACACTAAATCCCTACCACGGATTTTTTTTTGCTGTTGTCTAGTTGTTGATCGCTGTTGAGACTTGAACATTTCATTTTGATTATTAGAACTATAATTTTTTCGTCATTTCAGTGTTTTTCCTTAACTAATAGTGTGTATTTCTTCCGTTTAATGCTGTTCTTGGGTCAAATGAAAAGTTTTATAGATCAGATTGAGTTATTACTGAGTTATTATCCTAACTATACAAGGTCACAAATTGCCTCAGCTCTGTTCTTGAATTTAATTATCATACCTTTCTTTATGGAACTAGGATCTTTGGGTCTGAAGTGATGTTACTGGTAAGTATGGGTAAGTTTCCTGTAGACTTTTGTGGATAAATAGTGTTTATGTTAATGAACTAGCATATTGGGGAAGGGTATCTGATGGTTTTTAATTATCTGTACTGTGAATTGAATGTTAGTATTTTGCTCAGTGAGGTATTATAAGAAATCGACCATAATGTTCTGTATGTGTGGCCAGATGACGAAAGTATCGTCAACATAGCTATCCAAGTTTTGTGTTTTAGTTTGTTGATTCTTTCCTTTTTGCTCCAAATTCTAACATGATGTCGCTGACAATATGCGAGATTGGGGGAACCCATGACTAAGCCATTGGTATGTCCAAACAAGGTTTCTCCCAGCTGGAAATAAAATAGGTGGTGTTTAGGCAGTGAGAGAGGAGTCTATAATGGTACTGACTGTAAGGTTTAATTCAGTTTACTGTTTCTATCACATAATGGTAAAAGGATTCTGTTCTATTATGTTTGAAAACATATTAGTACCGTCAAAACAGACCAGTAGATCTTATTCCATTGGAATTTTGTTGACTTGTTGGGTGAGCTATGTAGAAGAGGTAACAAAAATCGTTAAGGGTCTGTCATGATATAAAAAACTGTTCAGTGTAGATGTTATTAATTAATTAATTTTGTGAGTTAATATTTCATGATTGTTTAGATTTGATATAATAAGAGAGTTAAAAGCAGACACTTATTGGAAGTTGTGTTTATAATTCATAGATGTTGAGACTATCGAATGTCGCGTGCAATACATTGTCGTCAAGGATATAAAGATTTCTAGAAGGTGGGCAGACGATCAAGTGATAAATACATATATTGTTACGACAGCGGAAGTC